ACTTTTCCTGCCCCTTGGGCAGGGGAGCTGGACCCAATGATCTTGTGAGGTCCCTTCCAGCCCTAATCTCTATGAAATCTGTGAGTGAAGATTTCTTTAGGCTAGACCAAAGGAAAAACTTCTTTACAAGTTGAGTGCCAAAGGTTTGGAACAGGCTCCCCCCAGTGGTGGTACAGTCACTGACCCTGGCAGTCTTCAAAAAGTGTCTTGACACCCATCTTGCTGGAGTCATCTGATCCCAGCAGTCTGTCCTGCCCAAGTGCAGCGGGTCTAGACCCAATGATCTGTAAGGTCCATTTCAGCCCCTAACAACTATGAAACTATGTGATGGGATCGAATGTGTAATTGTGGGCCTGCTCATTAGATCCCATCACGCCTTTAGTGGCTCCATGGCTGTATTTATATGAGTGTCTGGGAACTGAACCCAAGTCTTTTGTGTGGCAGACAAGGATTCTGCCATTGAACCATAGGGGAGTCCCCAGCTACATGTGCAAAGAAGCTGTCACACAATAAAAAGCTCCAACCAGCTATAAAGTTAAGCCTTGAAAATGTGTTAACTTTTTAACTGTTTGCTATTGAGCTTTAATTTGCATGTGTAGTAGGTTCTCTCCTGGAGCTGGGAGCCCCATCAGCAGGCAGGGCTCCCAGCTCCAGGGGTGCACCAGGCCCAGCATGAAACCCCCAGATCTGGGAATCACAGCAGCCATGATCCCTAACTTGGGGGTGGGTATGGGGGAGGTGCATGGAACTACCAGGCCCGCACGCACATCCAGGACTGAGAGTCATCAGGCCTGAGTCCTGTCAGGCATAGGTCTCAGTCCAGTGAGTCCTGTCAGGCATGGGGCTGCATGTGTAGTAGGCAGGAGCCATGATTGTGTGGATTACACGTTGGATCCAATCATGCCTTTACCTGCATGTGTAAAGAGAGTCCCAGAGTTGGCAGCTGCTGGGGCTGAGAATCTCCTGTTATGAGACTCCTAGCCCCAGCTGGACATGGTGCATCCCTATGGCTGGATGCCCCATCTGCTGACGGCGTTCCCATCTACAGAAGAGACACCATGTAGAAGAATGAATTCAAATGAGTGTCTGAGGTCCTGGACAGATGTACTATTTGGAGTGCTCAAAAAACCTTTGAAGCACTCCAGGTAGCAAAGGTATGGATGAAGAAGCACTTCAGAAATGGTCTAAGTGTTTCAAAAATGATCCTCAAAAATAAGGAACAGCATTGAAGCACTTCTTTTGAAGTGCTTCTTGAAATGTCTGTGCAATCTATGGAGCATTCTAGGGATTGCATTCTATAGTGCTGAACCACGGGGGGGAGGACACGAAACAACCAGTGAGCCTTCTGCTGTGCGCTCTGCTGTCCTTGTTACCTTCTGAAGTCCAAGAGGCATGTAAGGAGTTTTCTCTCCAGATCCCTGGCTGGAAAGTAGGAATCCCTGCACACCTCTGTCATGGTTCTGGCGTAGCACTAGGGGATGACAGAGAACCAAGAAACCTCCTTATTTTTCTTTCACTGGAGAGGACTGCTGCTGCATGCTGACACAGTGATTGTTGAAGGGCTCTGGCAAGGGGACACATTTGTGGGCTGTATATTTGTATGGTACTGAAACATATTGGAGCAGACCTTGTAACATTAGTCCATGGCCTGAGTATCCCTCCTGTTGAGAACTTCCCAAACAGCCTTGAACACTATGCTGATTTTTAGTTGGAAGACATGCAATGCCCAGCTGTAGCAGGAGAGATTTTTTTTTATAAGGAAGATGTAGAAAATCTGTCGATTAGATTCATAGTAATGTAGTTAGCTGTGTTTAGTCAAGTAGAGGGCAGGGTAGATTTGTACCTTATTGACTAACTGAAGTGTGTGTGTGTGTATACATATACGTATACACATAAATGTACATTACAGTGCAAGCTTTTGTAGGTTAAGCTCACTTCATCAGATGCAGTGTATAAAAGGAGATACTAGAATACCCTACTTGCATGCAGTACAATGTCACTTTATTTACATTAGAATCTGTGGAGCCATGAGTCAGGACTTCTTGTATTTACACTGAATGTCAGTAACCAAAACTACTGTTTATAGATGGTTTTTAATCCTTAATGCTGCAAAACAGAGAAATTATGGGCACTGACAGATGTGTGTCAGGGGCGGGGGGAACTCACTCTTCTGGAAGCAGCTGTGTGTTACTTTGATCCTGCTCTACAGCACTTGTATAGACCAGGCGCTTCAGTGGGGCTCTTCAGTGTTTTTATCTAAAACTGACTCAATCACCTATTACATAAAAGCACCAAAAAGGCTCCACTAAAGCACCTGATCTATACAGATGTTGGTAAAGCTGGGTGCAACTAAGGCGCTGCTTCTTCTAGGCATGCTCTGGGCTCGGCACAGGAGCTCACTGAGTATAAAGTAAAGCCACCATTTTGGTTTTTTCCACATCTGCAAACAGCCTATGTAGTTAGTCTGTCAGTTCTAGCATGTAAGTAATAATGATCAAAGAAGAAATAGAATTTTGGGACTGTAATACTATTCAAATAATCAGCTTCTGTTTGGCCAGGAGGATTACCTTACCACTTGTCAAAGTCTGCTTTCCTGGCCAGTTTCATTATATTGTACTGCTTCAGATACCTCATGACATCCCATTGTAACATCATCTTGTTCAAGCAAATTTAACCACACAAAACTTCCAGGACCTAAAGCTTTGACCTGAAACGTGGTTTGAGAAGCATGTGGACTTTTCTTTTACCCAACGTTAGCTTTTTTCCACATTCTAATGGTACCTAAATGATGGCATCTAAAATGACAATTTAGATAAGCTTGCTACTCGTCAGTGTTTAACCTTTTATTTGATTATTGCATTGTCAGGACATGATTTGACTTCATCTGAGAAATTCTTGTTCCAAATGCAGTTTGGGTTGCATAAAGCAGACTATCTAAATATGGAAGTAAGAGGGTTTGCAATGTTTGCTATACAAAGATTACTAATTTTGTTTCATGTTCTCTCTTGTCTTTTGTTCAGAGATTACAAAAGACACCTCCATGAAGACACTGAACATGAAGACTGTGTATGTTTATGTTATACCAACAACTGCTGAATGCTGAGAATTCCATTTTTATGAATGAGCCTATGTAGACTTCTTTTTTTCACAGAAGAGAAATCTGATTTAAATTAGTATACTTTTTAACAAACATCCAAGTTGTGTACTGTACTTTCAACATCTTCAGTTGTACATTGAAGATGTTTTCTACCAGTGCATGTGTAATATGCTGCTTTTGGTTTCAAATACAATTTATTTTCATTATGTTATAAGATACTTTAAAAGTTTTTCACAGTAATGTCAGATCTTAACCCTGGATATCTATGCAGTAACTTGCCTGAAAGAGATGGGACTCTAGTACCTCAATGATGCCATTCTCAGCCTGTCCTTTATACAGAGACCACCTTTAGTTTTCTAAATCATGGCTCACACACAAGGATCTGTGATATCTACTATGTTCTGATAGCTTTGAAACTAATTAAGAAAGTGTTATCCAGTTTTGTGAATTCATACTAGTTGGGTTTTCATAAGGTTTGTGGCGTTGATGAAAATAATTCTTAATTTCAGAAACTTTGAACAATAAATTTGCGCTTTCTCCAAGACCATATTTTCCTGAGTTTGTTTAATATTTTACTTTCCGAAACCTTAGAGAGATGGTACTTTTGAATTCCTCGGGAAACACAAGCCGCTAAAAGAACATTGAAAGTAATAGTTTTCATAACTGGGTTATTATAAATGTTTGGGTTGTGATGTTTGCATGTTCTTGGTTTGTGTGGGCATATATAGCTGGCACTTTGCATGCACACACACTGAATTTAGTAACCTAAGTTAATAAAACAACTACTTTGAACTTTCAGTGGGTCCAAGGATGGAGAGGCCAAATAAATCTAACTAGTGACCTTGCTGGTTTGGTGGCAGATTTTAGATTCATATTCCAAGCATACTGTATTTACTTGTGCACTACACACTCTTTTCCCTGTAAAATCAGCTTTCCAAAATTGATGTACATGTCTTAAGCAGGGAAGCTCATTTTTCTTCTTCACTGGAACAGAAGCATGGAGATGCTGTAGTCCCATGGTTCCCACTTCTCTCTGCCCCAGCAAGCAGAAGGTGCAGAGTCCAGTGTTAACCTTCTCATAACTGCTAAGGATTTGGAAGTAACTAATGGCTGAGAAATGAAAAGCTGCTACCAATTCCTTAGCAGCTATGAGACTGTTAACACTGTAGCTTATGCCTGAAGTAGCAGTTGAGCTAGTTCAGGGGAAATGAGCTGCTGCATGAAGTCAGCCATGACTCTGGAAGCCATTCTTTTTCCACCCTCCCCACATTCTGCCTTCCAGAAACAACATGCATCTTAGGGGTGTGCAGTATGTGAGAAAATTTAGTGTTTTATTAGCTCTCAAATCTTTAAGGAATTGTTTCTTGAGGAATTAAAATAGTTGATGACATTGGGTAAAAAGAAAACTCTAAAATTAGTAAATTTCTAACTGACACACATCTGGTAATGAAAATTAGAGATGTCACCTTGAGTGGAGAAAGCTTTTGGGGGGTTTTTTTAAGGCTGGGATTTTCAAAGGAACCAAAAGGAAGGTAGGTGCCCAAATCACTGAATTTCCTGACTACTTATTTTTTTGGCATGTGGAACAACCCTGGATTCTTTATTGCTGGGTGTAAGTTCCAGTCAACATCCTTTTACCTTACTCATTTCCCAAGAAGAAAGCTAAGCAAACTGTAAACAAGCAAGATTACAGAGACCATTTCATAAGAATAACTAGAAATATAAATATCAGTGTTTTGTTGCTTGCTTTTTGTTAGTGGGACATGCAGAATTCACTTGAACAACTGTCCAGCTATATCAGTTCATTTACCTGTAATGTGATAAAATCCTTTGAATTTCCAGTATCCCATGAATAACTAGGAAAGCATGGTTCAGTGCCCGGCTGTCTTCCCTTAAGAAACCTTTCTTATCTCTTTATTGAGATCTAACATGAAAATCAAGTAAGACTTAAATTTATGTGGACATGTTTTTTTGCACATAAAGTAATACGTTCTGGTTATGCCTTTTGTGAAGATGAAATTGCAGATTCCCAGCTAATGATGCTTCAGCTTTTATAGAAAATTAAACGAAGGCTGTGTAAAAGATTGAAATTTAACTTTATTATTCATGAGATGAGGAATCCATTATAATGACAGTTTTTAGAACGAGAATGTTATTGCTTGCATTTTTAAGGTTATTTGGGGTATAGTCAATTATTTAGCCAATATTAATGAATGATAAATGGGTATGTCCTGGCCATCTTTTTAAAAATGCAGGGTATGGACTGGCAGAAAAAAACAAATTTCTGACAGAATCTTCACCCTTTTGCAAAATTGCATATGATGCTGCTTATTGCCAAAAAATCAAATCTACTTTCCAGAAATTTAGTATCTTCTATCGGCTAAATCTATTAATCTCCAAATAAACTGTTGCTAAAATATTCTGCCTAGACCTACTGTAGAAAAGCAGCTGATACATTCCAAAAATGAAAACAGCTGTTTTTTTCCTTTCCTCTGAAATAACAGAAGTGTAATACCTGTGTTGCACCATTACAAGCAGGGCTTGTTTGGTGTTTCAATAAAATTTATCTTTAGAGCTAACTGGTTTGGCTAAATCATTTTATTGTGGGGAGGAGGGTGAGGTGGTCATGTTTCATGTGTGCCAATATCACAATAGAAATATCTTTATCATGTGCTAATTGTACACTTTCACAAAAATGTTGAAACCAAATGCCTATACCTTAACTAAGTACCACAGTAATGACTGAAAGCCGTGTTAGCAGCAACTGTACTTTTTCTCTCTTTCTATGCCTGAACTTGGTCTAGAGGGTAAAGTATGAAGTCAGATAGAAGGCATCTCCACATGTGCTCTCTTCCTGCTGGAGGAGATTATGGCCATCCTCAATGCCTGAGCTTTCTGGAGAGGGCAAGCCTGCTTTAATTAGCTCTTGGGAAAGAAGAGGCTTCCTTTTCAATGTGAGGTGCCAGCTGACAGGCTGGCTGGAACTAAGGCTCCAGTACCTGTCACCAAACTAAGAATCAATAAAGAATACCACTAACTTTCTTTGCCCAGGAACATCCCAGACATACTACAGCTCTTGCATACACAACATTTCTCTTATACTATATTTAACCAACTGTTACATTAATGCTTATCTAGTATAAAAGTTAAAATAAAACGTTAACTAGAGTTAAGCTATATAATTGTTTAAGCAAACTAAAATAAATATTTGTTATTTAATAAGGTTTAAATGACAGGGCAATAAATTATAATTATAAATTATTATATCCAAAAGCTAAGTTAATTTTAATTCAATGTCATAACCCAAAGGTATGATTTTGTGTGTGCTTTGGCACTAGAATTATACCCGCTAAATTGCAGCTTCGTTGCACGGTGGAGTTTTCTGCTGCAGAGGAGAACCCCGGTGCAAGGGAGAATTTCCCGCCAATTTATAGCTTCCTTTGCAGGGTGCATTGCTCAAGTTGCAAGAGAAATGCACGGTGCAAAGGAGTTCCTGCCACCCGCATGCAAATTTGTGTCCTGCTATTGGCTAGTTCTAAATTATTCCCACGTGGCGGCTAACGATTGGCCTGCTAGCTGTATAAGAGGCTTGAGCAGTTTCCGCCCAAGCCGAAGAGGACTCCACATCCATCTCGTGGGGACTCTGGGTACACGGCAGGGTAATAGAAACCCTGTGTGAGATTCAGAGGAGTTTGGCGACCTGATCCATCGCCCACCTCTTCCCGTCTTCGAGCGATAATTTAATAAGACGTATCTACAAAGTTCCTATTTTGGTGGCGCGCTTGTCCAGAGCATCCGGAGCTCTGTTTCCGTGGAGCCTAGCAAACTCCACGTGACCGTTCATGTTGTTTTGTCTGTAACCGCAACTCAAGCAAGTTTTCCAGCCTGCACTGCAACCATCTCCGGTGTAAGTAAACAATCTTTAAATCTACCGCTACGAGTCTGTGCCCAATTCTAGCTTGACGCGCGCCCTCTCTCCAACCCCGCATGCCCGGGCTGCTGGCCACAGCCCGCGCACAGCACGAAAAAGGGCCCGGCTCGTGACCGGCCCGCACACTCAACAGCTAAATATAATCTATTGCTAAAATGGCAAGAATATATAAAAGCAAATTAACTTCAGCTCAACACCAGGGCACTGGCTGCAGGAGGCCCTGCCTGACCCCTTTCTTTTGCACTCTCTAGTCCAGACATCCTGCCCCACTGCCCACATGCCCCTACCCTCTGCCCACCCTCAGCATCACTCTCAGGACATGCACATGGGTGAAACAAAAAAAACCCCTTTATTACCCTCATAACACCCACCCCATCCCTCCCCACTCAACAAACAGAACCCTCTGCCCCCCTCAACCAACAGAGCCCCTCCATGACCTTCCTCACCCAGCAGCAATAAAAAACCCACTTACAAGTGGGAAACTATATACAAGGGGAAAACCCATAGAGAATATTTTGGGTCATTAAGCCCACAGTGGGAGCCTGTGTGTGTGTGTGTGTGTGTGTGTGTGTGTGTGTGTGTGTGTGGTGGGGGGGGGGCGAGAGGGGGCGGGGGGCGTGAGTGCCCAGCACCCCAACATCTGAATGTTCCCTGGGGCTGGGCTTAGGCTGGCCTCCTAGTGGCAGGACAGACCCAGCACTAAAGCTAGTGCCAAGTCATGTCTACACATGTGTTTATGTGCATTAACTAATTGCACCTAAATTTAGGCGTAATTAGCTTAAGTTAATGTGCATTAAGGGCATGCATGTGTAGACATGTGCCTGTAATGTGCATTAACTTAAGCTAATGCATATTAATGCATCTCACATAGATGCGCCTTTTTAGAAGTCAATATTGTCACTTCAAATGGCATGAGAAGGTACTTCTGGTTTCTATCACTATATTAATCAGGATCGCTGCAAGGTTGAGAGTCTCTTGTTTCAAGTGACACCATGGCACATGGGATCAGCTCTTAAGTAAGTACAAGACTGTTTCTTGTCAATAAACATATTCAAGTCACAATCCAAGCTTTATCTTTACAGGAGTTACTTGGCTAAATCTCTTCATACAGAATCTGTTCTGCTCGAAGGAAAATAAAACCCCAAGCAGCACCAACAAACCCCATCCCCCTCAAAAGTGTGTCTCAGTATATGCCACCTATACAGTTGGTCAAATACAAGATATCACAGACAAGAATCCTTGCCTCTCACTTTTTTCCTGGACCATCATGGCTACATTATTTTAACACCAACCTGTGATATGACTATGTAGCTTCAAAAAGTGGCAATTTCTTCAAACAATTCCACTGTGTCATAGGCCATCTTGAGAGAGCACAGGGATAGATAAGTACCTGTGCCAGATGAGAATTCAGACAAGGGGCCAAGGCTGCATGAAATGGTCAGAACTGGAGGAACCTGCCTGCCATTGCTCCTGCTACTGTCCCCAGCTGAACTTGATTCCCTGTGCAACCAGGCTGGAGAGGGGCAGGAGCAGCTCTGGAGCTCCCCAAACCCCTGGGGACAGCTGGATGCAGTGGGGATAGTAGCAGCAGTGGGTGGGGAAAGGGGGTCATGCAAGGGGATGGATGTGCTGCTGAGCTTGAAGGGGAAGTGTGTTGGGCTGAGGGGAAATGATTAGCTGATTCAAGGACTTAAAAAAAAAAAGTACCCAAGTGCTGCTTCCAGGGAGTGATCACTACACCCACTCTCGATCTGCTTCTGACAATGCACTGAAGAGAAGTGGGGAGGGCAGAGCAAGCTTTCAGTGGGGATTTTCCTGCTATTCTGCCTCCACTATCATGGAGCATCTCCCCTCTCCCTTTACTCCCAACTGCTAGAACCAAAAGATCAGAGATTTCCTTCCCGCTCCCCACCCCCCAGCTAGTCTTTATTTCTTCCAACCTGATCATGTCATCGATACAAAAATACTCTTCAATGCTGTTTCCATCCTCACTAGGATCAGTCATAGCATGCACCATAGTCATACACAAAGTTTCCTTGCAGGGCACTCTTGAACATTCTTGCTAGAGCAATTAGGTTTGCATCCATTTTTATATATATTTAACAGTGTGCAATAAATGATGATTCTCTCTTTTGCAGAATTAAGGTTCAACTTTACTTTTGGCTGTAGGAGTCTTAGTTGATTGACTTCTCAGGCCTTTAAAATGCACTATGAAACATTATTGGGAACAAATAATGACCTTTTGTGTTGCATGTTTTTTGTCTCTCTCTATTTCCCTGTCCACTTTTAATCTTCATTTTTGTAGGATAATATCTAATTATTTTTGAGTAATCTTGTCTCATGGGCACTCATGAAGTGTGGAAAGTTTCCTAGTTATTTTTTAAATGAGTTTTTCTTCCATTTTTGTGTGCAGTCTCTCGTCATTCCATCTAGATTAGTCTAAAAATAGTTATTTGCCTTGATGCAATGCTCTTCAGGATTTATGTACTTCAATTAACTTCCTCTTAACAGTCTTTTGTTATATAAATGAGATCCTGGACCACTGCTGCCTCTTTCCATTTTGATAAAATACTAGTAGGCATCTGTAGAAACCTGTATCAACACAGAGCATGTCCTTGTAAGAGTTTTCAGTCTGGTGACAATCCCCTGACCTTCCTGTCTTGCTTTTCAACTGATGGCAATAATACAGCTTCTCATTTTCCCCATCTCATCGAAACACAAGCTGCATCTAGTAATTTGCAAGAGCTGAATTCTGCTGAGCTTGGCTCTTTGCTGCTGGGGAGCTGTAGGCAATGTAACAGAATAGATTTGTCATTGCAGCTGTTTCCAAAATCATGGTGCTGTGGTTTTTAGAAAGTGTGTGAAAGGATGGCTGCCTTCATCTTTAATATTTTTCTCATATACCACTTCCTTTCCCCAGTTGTGATGGCTAATGAGATGGATCCAACCTCCACACTAGCTTCCCAAGATGGGATTGAAGTCCATTGTTATGGGACCATAGCTCCACTGTGACCTGCACTGCACTTGTTCTCCCACTCAAAGAGAGAGAGAGAGAGATGTCAATTTAGCATCACCTTCCCTCAGGTCATAACTCAGAGTGAAATGTTGAGTCTATATAGTTTTGTTACAAGACAGTTGCAATGCATAGGGAGTGCACAGGGGTGCACATGCACCCCCTAAGAAGGCTGGTGCACCCCCTGACTGGCTGTACTCATTGCTTAGGTGATAGGCAGGGTGGGGGTAGGTGGGAGCACTGGTGCCCCCCCACGAGCACCGGCTGGGGAGTGGGAGTCCTGTGGCACTCCTGGAAGTGGTCACTGTCACTTCCAGAAGTGGCCACAGTGATCAGCCACCTCATGATCGGCCACGGGGGGATCTCCCCCTCCCATTTGGTGAGAGTGGTCCATGGGGGGGACCCCCTGGTCAGCAAGACTGGTTACAGGGGGACCCCTCCCCAGTCACTGACTGGTTGCTGAGGGGGCATGTGTACCCCCTAACTAAAGAGGAACCAGTCCCAGGATATTGTTGGGGTTTTTTTCCAGGTGGATATCCAATGCAAAGAAGCTGCTGATGTGTATTTTCATGTGTGCTACATAAAATATTTAAGACAACCTTCATCAAAATTATTACTGCACTTCTCCTG